GTATCACACCTTCCCTACACCTTTAGCTCCTTTCCTCCCATTTCTAAATGTCAGTAATCTTATTAGAATCTTATGCATTGTTGCAGAATATTCACACCAGGGAAACTATTTGGTATTTACACATGTGGGACTTATTTATTTCACTTAGGAGTATATCTTCAATATGTATCCATTTTCCTATGAATGAATCTATTCTCTCGCTCTTTATGGCTGAGTAATATAGTTTTAATATGCACCGAGCAAGAGTTGAAATGAGTTTACAGAAGAGGCTGGCCCTGCCCAGCAAGCAGTCGGTCTAGTCTGGCTGGCAGAGAACACTGTGGAGAAAGCAGTGTGACAATGGGTCTGGTCCCTGTGACGCGGGCTCGGGGCTCTACTAGATAATGTGGGCAGAAAAGTGAACTGATTCAGGGCAGAGGGAAGGCACTGAAAAGCCAGCCCCGGGGATAAAAGCAAGAAGCTCTGAGAACTTCTGACTGATTAAAATGAACTGGGTGAATGGACAGCTTTCTCCTCTAAGATGATTTCATGTCTGTAATCTCAGACACTATAAAGGACATGTCAAAGGGGGCAGATGCAAATGAGCTGATATTTTTGCTTATGAATGACTTTTTTTGTCAAATTCCACTGACTTTAATCCTGAAAAGTAGGGGGGAAACTGCCTGAGAACAAGAATACCTCTTTGAATACTCTTTGCTATTTGTATGAGAAGTGTGTTTTTTTTTTTCCTATTGTTGTTGGTTGGTTGCTGGGGATTAATCCCAGGGCCTTTGCATTGAGCTATATCCCCAACCCTTTTCTTATTTTTTATTTCAGACAGGGTCTCCATGACTTGCCAGGCTGAGCTGGGACTTGCCATTCTCCTGCCTCAGCCTCCCGGAGTGCTGGGATTACAGATGTGCACCACCACACCCAGCTTCGTTTTCTTTGGATTGTTTTCAGTCTTTTCTTCTTTGTTACATTCTAAGGATGTGTGAGTCCCATACTGGTGTCCTGTGGACAAGCTACCACGGGTACCTGTCTCATTCCCCATAACATAAGGAGGATGTTACCACAGCTTCTGCACACTCGAGGCCCAGAGTCCCTGACCACAGCCAGAACATCAGAAAGAGGCCCACAGGAATGCCCACGACTGCATGTATGCCACCTCCAGACCTCCCATGTGCAACACAAGAAACAGGGGAGCTCCCCCAAAACTTGATTTAGGGTTGTAACTTCTCTTATAAATTTTAGCTTTTTCCTATGCACTTTCTCAAGCAATCAGGAGAGTGGAAAGAATACCTATACACTACCAACTGGATTTAATCATCACAAATGCTTTCCACAACTGTTTCACATGCATACCTGTGGGACCATTTCAAAATCATTTACACCCAACCACTTCACCCCAGTGCCTCAGCCTTGCAGCTTCAAAGAATCTGGACATTCTCTTCCCTGGCCACCATTATTAACACAAATTCCCTAGTATCTACTTCTCACTCCATATGCAAACCCCCGCAGTTGTCTCACACGTGCACTGTGACTTTGT